AATCATACTGTCCCAGTGATCAAGTCGTCTTCTTCTCGACTCAAGGTCACTCATGCCAGAAGAAGAAGCTGCGACCATTGAAACGGGAAATGAAGTAAGCTGCAATGTTGACTTGTCGCTAGAAGCCACCACCATAAATATAAAATAAAGTAAAACTAAAAAAGGCTTCCTCCTGTACATTCCCTCATGTGTCCTGTAGCTAAAACAGGTAAACAAAACACACTTCAACAATACCAACAAATTCTTTTTTTTTGAAAATGATTGTGAAGCAAGTGTTAACCACCCGAAAAACTGGTTTAATGCACTTGACACCCATTGAGCCATCCGGAAAAGAGCAAATATACACCTAGCCTTCATTAGGAACCGGGTATAGTAGAACGTCAGCGTCCTAGCGTGAACCTGATTTCACTGAATTGCTATCAAATATAATTAATGCAAAAGGCTACGTATTCAAATTTATTAGGACATTTTCGATTATGCACCATAGTAAAGGTGGCGGTGCTACCATTAGGCCATTTCATTTGCGTCATTCATAAGCTGCCGCTTCATGACATAGATGCGAGTGTTATGGCTCACTTTTGTATGCCCCACAACTCCCAGTGCAAAAGGTACGTGTTAATTGTTTTATCTTCTCCAAAACTCAAGCGGTAACTTTGAATAAATTTTTAAAAAATGAAGCGGTAAACGAATAACACTGAAGCTGCTATGGCTGCATGCATATAGGATCATCAGTGCAATGGAATAGCCATTGCGTTACCACACCTTCGCTCCGATGGATGTGCTTCGTTTTGGAGCGCTTGCGTCTCCGTTATTTACTATCTGAAATATATAACCGATTTGCTTGACGCACATTATCAACATGCCAAGTTTCAGTTATGCGAATTCGATTATTCTATCCTCATAAACAGACGGAAATCTACACAACTGACGAGGAACTTTGCCCTGGCCTTGGACGACCATTTTGCCGTAAGTGAGCGGTCCGTTCGGTAGTATGCAAACTCCTCTCTCTCTAAGTAAATAATAAGCAGTTGCTGCACATTAACTTTGAGTTGAATCCCCAGGATAAGAAACTATTAAAAGTCTATTAATTAGGCCTCAGTAGAGGCAAAATGTCTCCCAAAACGTCATACGTTGCGAAAAAATAAGGAGTTGAAATTGCCACCCCCAAAAAAAGTATAGT